CCCCCCCCCCCCCAAAAGGGACGTTTTCTTTCGAGTGAAACTAGCCTTGGACGATGGCACGTCACCCACGTTTCATGCTGTAACGAGAATGGATTCGAGAAGTCGTTACTTCACGTCGCGCCATTTTCCTATCGCGGAACATCCTGCCTTCTCGATTTTTCTATCATCCGGAGAGGGATGGACTTTCTTTCTATCGGTATCTATGGATGGAGCGTGGAGAGATCCTTTGACCTCCTCTATTTGCTCGAAGAATATAGTTGAAGAATTTCTTTTTACGTAAGTCTTTTTTATGCATGACAATTCGATGTAACTTGAATCCGTGAATTTTTATTCTTTTTCTTCAAGCCTTTTAAAAAATGTTCCAACCCTTCCAAATTTTATAAATATTATTATAGATGCATCTATCGTCTGGATTTTCAAAATTTCGACTTATTAGAGTTTTTTCGAGTTTCAATAAAGATTCAATGAATCATATAAATTTAAAAACATATTTGGAAAAATTCACGAACTCGCAAAATATTTTTAATTTTTAAATATTCGAATATCGAAAAAATATATATTTGAAAATCGGGGGAAGGATAAACGAAAGAATTTTTCTTCCGTAAAATTTCCATAGTTAAACCTAACAGAAACCTTTTACGTAATCTCAGCAAAAGCATACCGTGCAACGTAAATCGTGCATAAATTGCAGGATTCTTAGGGGCAACGATAACTCCGGAATGCATTTATTCGCGGATGACAGTCCACCGTAATTGCATCGACGCCCTTACGTGGATTCTACTCCTCGCTCCCCTCAAAGGTGCTTTTCATTAATCACCTAACCTTCCCTTATCTTCGTTAAAAGCGGCCGATAATTTCATTCCATCAGCAATTACGCATCCAGCAACACGGAATGTGTGTTCGAGAGAGAAAGAGAGAAAAAAAACATCGCTTTTCGCGCGGTTTTCATCCACCACGAATGGATGAAAAGTCCACATTTTCTCTCTTTTTTTTTTTTTTTTTATCTCGAACCTGCGACAATTTTCCACGAATGCTCAACGAAACGAAAATTTGTTCCTGAATTTTAGTATAATGAGTGAAACGATAATAATTATTTTCGCTTATTCGTATTTATACGTTGGGGGGAGGATTTTGGAAAGTGATGGAATATTACAATATTTTGAAAATTTGATATCATATTTTGTCGTATGATCGAATTTCTTGAATTGAACGAATTTTAAGAAAAATTCAAACGTGGGATGGAAATAAATTAAAAATATCAACGAGATATTAATTAATTTTCCAGAATCGAATCTTTCAGTTTCGTTAATTTTAAAAGAATTCTTAGAATTTCTGTTCCCTTTCTTCTCTTTTATTTTATTGAAATTTAATTTCAATATTACGAATTTTAATAATCTTTTAAATTTAAATTTCTAATATTGGAGAAATTTTATTATTATATTTCTCATAAAGTTTGAAATATTTTAAAATTTCTTTATTCTAACTTTTAATTTTCTCGAAATATCAAAATTGAAATTTCAATTTCCAATTTATCAATTGTAATTCTCCGATTCTCGTTGATATTTTTAATTTATTTCCATCCCACGTTTGAATTTTTCTTAATATCCGGTTATCACACTATTCTCGGATAAGGCAATATTTCCTCGATTAAAAAAAATTACTTGGAACCAGGCTTCGAGCTTTCTTTCCCTCCTTTTACGACAAATTGAGGTCGGCTGTTTCGAATAAGTTAATTTCTTTACTCGAAGACATTAAGTGAAAACCCTTCCCTTTCCCTCGAGTGGGAAAAATTCAATAAAGCGATTGAAAACGCTTCGTTTCATTATGAAATTGTGCTTCCGAAAGATTTTTCTTTTTGTTATATCATGTGATATCGCGAATTAATCGATCATTTATGAACAATGTTTAAGGGAATTTTAAATCCTACATCGTAATTCTTGTAAAAATTTCTACATTCGATAATTTATAGAAAATTTACGCATCGATTATTAATTCATACTAATTAATTGCTTAACGAATATGTACAAAAATACGTATCGCGTAAATTTTTGTTATATTTTTTTCTTTTCTTCTTTAATGGAACCATTTTATCAAGATATTTGTTTTCCTTGAATAGAAGAATATTTGTCATAAAATTTTAATCCAGAAAAATTACAGATATCATTGTACCAGGCGCAGATGCATTTATCGCGCGTATTTGTGCAAGTAAATTTCATTCAGGTTTATCCGTCAAATTTTTCTTCATAAATATTTTTTTTTTTATTTTCCATCTATTTCTCTTTCTATGGATCTCGATTTTTTACATAGATTTTTATCAGTGATATTCGATATTCACCGTTTAAAAATAATATTTTTATTTATTTATTTATTTATTTATTTATTTATCAGCGAGAACTTTGTTACGCGAATTTGATATTTCGTTCGAAGAAATTTGACAAATTCCGTATTTTCGTTGCAAAACTTGGACAGATGCATATTTTTAAACACCGACTATCGGATTTTTTTTATATAGGAATCTTTTTCATTTTTTTCATTATTGAAGAGAATTTTTCCATAAAAATTTGACATTTCACTTTAAAAATTTTAAATTGTCAATTTGCAAGATTTATTATAAATTTATTTGGAGAGAGCACACATTGAAGGAATATTTAGAAAATTGGCTTTTTATCTCTGAAACTTTATCGCGCTTGGATTTTTTTTTTATTTTTTATTATTCCTTTCAAAAAAATTGAAATTTTATTTTTAACGAAATATAAAATTCTGTTCTGAAAGCATAAATGATTTCCTCTTCCATTCAACTTAACTTTGGAAGCTAGTTTTCGTTACAATTATGATAAAGATGATGAAATAATCATTCGATAAAACCTTCCAAGTTAATTGATTAAGTAAAAATCAAGAGAGGAGAACGATTCTTTCCCTTGCCTCCAGAAGACCAATAACAACTTTCCAATCTCTTAATTGAATAACAGAAAGACCCTTTTTCACGATTTCCAATCGCGACTTGAATCCAGAAACTTTTCGATCGATATATCATTTCTTGTTATTTTCCATCAGTCTTGAGAAATATGAAAATTAAAAGGTTAAAATAAAATTTTTTATTTATTTTTCTTCCTCTCCTCTTTCCGTATAATATTTATTGAAAGTCGCGAAAGGAAATGAACGAAGATTCTAGAGGAAGACATTCGAATCGCTCAGGCATGCATTTAATTCTGAAATTCTTGGATTCATCGCCATTTCTTCTTAGAAGTTCCCTTTAACAAAAGACATTCTTCTTTCTTTTTATCCTTCCAGATCTATATTTTCTACAAATACTTCCTATTCTTTAAGGGACAATGAAATCTGATCACTTGTCATAGTGATTTTAAATAAGTAATTTTTATGTCATTTTTCAGAATTCAGAAATGTTCTGATTATTTTTAAAAATTTATTTTTAATAAATCTCCCCACAAAGAAAGATTAATAGAAAACAAATCGTCACTCGTTCTATTTTTCTGTGACATCAAAATTAAGGGGAAAAAAAAAAATCATTTCTCTTCTTCTAACTCTTCAAATTAATACAAGACATCTATTCTATTCTATTCATCCTCAAAATCTAAATTCCACCAAATTTTCTCTCTCTTTCTCTACCTCTCTAATAAATCTCTATTCCATCCCCATTCTTCTTAAATGAACAAGAAATGAATGTACCACAATCCTACTCTCCTCCCTACCTCAACCATCACAAGAAACCAAATAATAACAAATGATAGAACTCTTCAAAAAGTGAAACGAGATCTCCTAAAACAAAGCCCAATTAAATTACCTCCACCCTCCTCCCTCCAAATTCCTATGTGAATCAACCAGTAATCGGAATAAAGGATCCTTCCTTCGGTTGGACAAAGCGATCGCAAGCTCTCCCCTCCTCCCTCCCCTCGAGTCAACGATCATGGAAAAATGGATCGAGCGGGTTAACCATCCCCCAAAGGGGCATCGTACTAGTACTACATCGAATGAAACGAGGCGAATCGATGAGGGTAGGCAACACTTTCATCGGGATCACGTCACCGTCGTCGTCGTCGTCGTC